TAATGTTAGATCTTGGCAAAAAACAGAGAATACCAGAAGAATGTCTATCTGTGCTTCATTGACTATGCAAAGGCTTTTGCCTGTGTGGATCACAATAAGCTATGGCTGACTCTAAGAACAATGGGAATCCCAGAACATTTGATTGTGCTTATGTGAAACCTATACTTGGAGCAAGAGGCAGTTGTCAGAACAGAGCAGGGAGACACTGGATGGTTCAAAATGAAGAAAGGGGTCCGCCGGGGATGTATTTTGTCTCCATACCTTTTCAATCTGTATACAGAACAGATCATCCGAGATGCTGGGCTGTATGAGGAAGAATGTGGCATCAGGATTGGTGGAAGAATCATCAAGAACATGCACTATGCAAATGACACAACCCTGCTTGCTGAAAGTGAGGATGACCTGAAGTGCTTGCTGCAGAAGGTCAAAGACTGCAGACTTCAAGAAAATAAAGATTCTCACCACTGGGCCAATCGGCAGCATCACTATGGATGGTAAAGAAATTGAGATAGTTAACAGTTTTAGTTTACTTGGCTCTACAGACAACACTCTTGGTAACAGTAGCCATGAAATCAAGAGAGGCATTGCATTGAGAAAGTCAGCTATGAGGTACCTCTCAAGAGTACTGAAGAGCAATGGTGTCTCTCTGGAGACTAAGGTGCATCTGATACAGGCCATCGTCTTTGCAATCACTTGTTATGCATCAGAGAGTTGGACAATGACTAGGGAGGATAGAAGGAGAATTTATGCCTTTGAGCTGTGGTGCTGGAGAAGAGTATTGAATGTACCATGGGCTGTTAAGAAGACAAGTTCATCCTAGAGAGGGTTAAACCCAGTGGCTCCTTGGAGGCAAGGATTCTGAGGCTTCGTCTGACATACTTTGGACATGATGTAAGGAGGTTCCAGTCCTTGGAGAGAGACATCATGCTTGGTACGGTGGAAGGACAGCGAGGAAAGGAAGGCCCTCTATGAGGTGGATTGATTCAGTGACTTCGGTAATCAGGTGGCTGTATGGGAGACAGTGAGATTGGCACAGGACAGAGCAGAATTTACGGCTGTTGTACATTGGGTCGTTATGAGCCACACGCGACTCGACGGCACAGAACAACAAAAACAACAATTTTCTATTAATCATTGAGCACACAAATCTTGATCATTAGGTCTCTGGCCTCCTCCCAAGAAAGGTTATTCAACAGAATGCGGGGGAAAAATTTCAAACAATACCATTAATATCTCGTGCGAGCAAAATATTGTTGAAGATCATTCAAAAGCAGCTGGAAACATGCATGGACAGGGAACTATCAGAAATACAAGCTGGTTTTAGAAGAGCCTGTGTATCATTGCTGATATCAGATGGATCCTGGCTGAAAGCAGAGAATACCAGAAGAACGTATATTTGTGTATTATGCAAAAGCATTTAACTGCATAGATCATAATAAATCATAACAAATCTTCTCACATTGAGAAAAATGAAAATCCTAGAACACGTACTTGTGCTCACACTTTATCTATACCGAGATCAAGAAGCTGGTGCACTAACAGAGCAAGGTAACACTGGATGGTTTTAAATCAGGAAACGTGTGCATCAGGGTTGTATCTTTCCTCCATACCTAGTCAAGCTGTTTGCTAAGCAAATAATTTGCAAAGCCAAACTTTCTGAACAGTCTGGCATCAAGATTGGAGGAAGACTCAACAATCTGCATTATGCTGATGACACAACTTTGCTTACTGAAAGCATGGAGGATATGAAAAACTTGATGCAAAAGATCAAGGTCTATGGCCTTCGGTATGGATTACATCTCAACATCAAGAAGACAAAGATCTCCACCACAGGCCCAACAGTCAACATTATGATAAATGGAGAAAGGACTGAAGCTGTCAATGACCTCATCGTGTTATGATCAAAAATCAATACCCACGGTACCAGCAGTCAGGAAATCAGGAGACATTGTGTTGGGCAAGTCTACTGGCAGGGATCTCTTCTAAATACTGAAAAGCAGTGACTAATGTGTGCCTGATTCAGGTCTTCTCCATCACCTGCTACACAGTTGGACAGTGAATAAGGATGACAGAAGAACTGTTGTTTTTGAGTTGTGATATTGGAGAAGAATACTGAATGTTAAAGGACTGCCAAAAGAACACAGTTATGTCCTGGAAAAGGTGCAGCTGGAATGCTCCCTGGAGGCGAGGATGACAAGGCTTTGTTTTTTTCACACTTTGGACACATAGCTAGGAGAGCTATTACTTAGAAAGATGGAGTGTTAGCAAGAGAGATTAAAACACTGCTCCCCAACAAGATGGATTGACACTCTGACTTCAGCAATGGGTGCTAGTCTGAGAGCTGGTGAGGATGGCACAGGATAGGGCAAGGTTCAGGCTGATTGTTCATTGGATCACTGTGAGTTATACTCGACTCAGTGGCACCTAACAACAACAATAATTCCATCCAAACCACGCCTTCTTCCCATTCAATCGAGATGACCCTTGAACAACATAGGAATTGAGTTGGGTGCATTTACTCATGCTCTGATTCTTTCCCCATTTCTTCTGCCGTAAGCTCCACATTTCAAAATGGACACACCACTTGAGCTCACTGTAAACACCACAGGAAACTCATATTTAAAAGTGACTTCAGGCCAGTCAAGCTGTGATGTTCAAGGGCCAGTTTTAAGTTACATGTGGGTTTCCAACTGCTCAGGAGAGTAGCACCCTGAACCCTCACTCAAGTTTCTCAAGGGCCAACTGTCATTTTTCAAGATTGGGGGTGGGGGGAATAAAGACAAGAGTGACCTGTCTATTTTTGATATGTATTGTTGAACAGAACCGACTCACAACTCATCATGGGTTCTTTTCAGAGGCTGTGAAATGCACAGGAGGAGACTACCTTTGTTACTCCCCGAAAAGCAGCTGGTGGATTCAAACTGCTTGCCTTTGTGTTTTCAGTGCAGCTTCCAAACCACACTAGGCCACCAGATCTCTCTGTCTAGTACTCCCTAAAGTATCCCT